AAAACTGAAAAGAGGCTATGATAAAGATGGTGTTGTTGTTATGTGCCATCGAGTCGCCTGCAACTCATAGTGACCCTATGTACAACAGCCATAATCCTGCTCTATCCTGTGACAATCTCACTGTCTCTGACACACCTACCCTCATAACCCCAGTCATTGAATCAATCCACCTCATAGAGGTTCTGTCTCTCCTGTGCTGTCTCTCCACCCTCCCAAGCATGATGTCCCTCTCCAAGGATCGGTCCCTCCTTGCAACATGTCAAAAGTATATCAGATGAAGCTTCAGAATCGTTGCCTCTAAGGAGCAGCCTGGTTTAACCCTCTCCAGGACAAACCTGTTCATTTTCTTAGCAGTCCATGGTATATTCAGTACTCTTCTCCAACACCACATCTCAAAGACATCAATTTTCCTTCTATAATCCCTAGTCATTGTCTAGCTCTCTGATGCATAGCAAGTGATTGCAAAGACCATGGACTGTATCAAGTGCACCTTAGTCCCCAGAGTGATACCATTGCCCTTCAGTACTTTGGAGAGGTCTCTAACAGCAGACTTTCCCATTGCAATGCGTCTTTTGATTTTCTGGCTAGTATTGCCAAGAGTGTTGACTGTGGTACCAAGCAAATTAAAGCTGTTAGCAGTCTCAATCTCTTCACCATCCATCATGATGCTGCTGATTGGTCCAGTGGTGAGAATATGTGTTTTCTTTATTTTGAACCTCAATCCATATTGAAGGATGCATTCCTTGACCTTCTGTAGCAAGTGCTTCAGGTCTTCCTCAGTTTCAGCAAGCAGGGTTGCATCATCTGCATCTTCCTCCAATCCTGGGGCCACTCTTCTCCTCATAGAGCCCAGCCTCCCAGATAATCTGTTTTGCATATAGATTGGAAAGGTATGGAGACAGGACAAATCCCTGGCATACTCCCTTCTCAATTTTGAACCATGCAGTGTTTCCTTGCTCTGTTCTGACGACTGCCTGCTGGTCCAAGTATAGGTTTCACATTAGCACAATGATAAAGATAAGTCAGTATAGAACTAAAACAGCAAACGCACTAGCAGTACAGTGAATTGAGAAATGTAGAAAAGCATACCACTGCATTTTTTTTCAAGTTGTGTCTAAATAAGTAAACATTCAAATAATAAAAATGGTAATGAATAAATGCATGAAAATGTTTTTAACTGATTTTAAAGTAAAAGTGATTTTAAGTAAAAGAAAAAATGTTTATCATGGTTGATTTTAAAATGTTAATTAAGATTAAAAACAATAAATTATCTTCTAAGAACGCTTATATACTAAAAACCAATTCTGCTTCTTGGTTTGAAGGTTTAGAGTCCTTGTGTCATGCGACAACTGAGTTCATTGCCTAGTAATTTTTTTATTTTAAAAAATTTTTAATTTTCTACTAGTTTATTTACAAAATTAGAATGCACTGTTTTTAATAACAAATCCTAGTAAAAATTTTAATGCTTGTTTACTACATTTGATTTTGTGAGATAGAGCCTGGCATCGTAAGAGTTTGGAAGCAGACATCCAAGTGTAAACCTGATTCCGTCCAGGAACAGCAGAAGAATTGGGCATAGGAGGAGAAAATATAAAGTGTGACTAACTGCCTCTTGTTGTTGTGTACCATAGAATTGGAACCGATGCATAGCTGAGCTCCTGTGGGCTTTCAGAGGCAGTTAATAACCCTGGAGGAGATCGCCCATCTTTTTCCCCCAGAGCAACTGGCTGTCTTGACTTTCCTGCCTTTGGGATTGCAGCACAGCTTCTTGCTAATAGGCCACCAGAGCTGCCTCTTAGAGTTGCCTTTTTTTACTGTGAGACCAGTGCATGGATAGTGCCTTAGGAAAAAGGATAGTGAAACTTGGTTTCTTTGGGCATATTGTCAAGAGTGGCCAGTCCTTGGAAAAATGTGTCATGCTAGAAAGGGCGGAAGGCTAGGGTAAGAGAGAAAGACTATTAATAAGATGGATTGACAGAATGAATGTAACAAAGATCTTCACCATATCAGAGATTGTGAGGATGGTGCAAGAGAAGTCAGGGTTCAGATCTTTGTTCATAGGGTTGTGATGAGTTAGAGTCAACTTGATGGCATCCGTCAAGAAAAACAACATCATTACCAAATGCTTTGATTAAAGATTCTGTAGATGAATCTTGATCAAAGCAAAAGAAAACACAGAATAGAATATCAAATTCTCAGACTCCAGACTTTCTGGAGCCATTGGTGTAGACTTGTTATTTGTTTTTAGGTGCCATTGAGTTGAGTACAACTCATAGAGACCCTATGAACAATAGATTTCAATCCTGCTCTATCCTGTGCCAATGATGTCAGGTGTATCAGAGATGGTAAGGTTGACTCAGGATAGGACAAGGTTCAGAGCCTTGGTTCATAAAGTTGCTATGGGTCGTAGTCAACTTGCAGCACATATAAACAACTATCATCCTCATGTTCTCTGCCACACCAGATCCCATTTTTAAAGTCACTGCGTCAGTCCACCTGGTTGAGGGTCTTCCCTTCTCTTGCTAACCCTCTACTTTTCAGAGCATGATGTCATTTTCCACGGAGTAGCCAGCCCCTCCTAACAGCATGCCCGAAGTATGTGAAACAAAGTTTCACCATCCTTCCCTCTAAAGAACACTCTGGCTATGCTCTTTCCAAGACATAATTTTTGTTCTCTTGGCAGTCCATGCGATATTAAAGTACTCTTTGCCAGTACCATACTCAAAGGCATTGATCCTTTGTTGTCTTTATTCACTTTCCAGCTCTCAAATACACAGAATATTCAGTCCTCTGCTCCCACACTACAACTCCAACTATGTAGACTAAGTTCTGTGAACTAATCTCTAAGCACTGAGATGATATTTAAACAAAGAATATACTTGGATATCTTTTTCAGCCCAAATGTGTTGTTGTTGTTGTTAGGTGTCAACAAGTTGAGTATAACCCATAGTGACCTTTTGAACAATAGATCTGACCTCTGTCCTAGTCTGTGTATCCTTATCATCTCTGACATACTTAAGCTCATTGCTGCAGTCACTATACCAATCCATCTTGTTGGGGGTCTTTCTCTCTCTTGGTGACCCTTCACCTTCCCAATCATGATGTCCTTTTCCACGGAAGAGCCTGTCTTAGCAACATGACCAAAGTATGTCAGACAAAACTTCACCCTCTTGCTTCCAAGGAGCATTCTGGCTGCATTATTCCCAATCAAGACATATTTGTTCTTTTGGAAGTTTGACCTATTCAGTACTGTTCTCAGCACCATAATTAGAAAGCATCAAATCTTCTTCTGTCATCCTTACTCATTGCCATGATTCAAGCACACTTTAGTCTTCAAACTAACAGCATTGCTCCTCAGTACCTTGGAGAGGTTCCCGACAGCCGACTTTCCCAATGTCTCCTATCTCCTAACTGCTGGTCCCAAGGGTGTAAATGTGGATCCAAGTAAGAGGAAATTGTTGACAGTTTCAGTGGTTTCTCCATCTGCTTTGATGCTACTTGTCTGTCCAGTGGTGAGGGTTTTTGTCTTCTTGATGTTCAAATGCAATCCATATTGAAAGATGTAGTGTTTGATCTTCTGCAGCAAGCATTTCAAGTCCTCCTCACTTTCAGCAAGCAAAGTTGAGTCCTCTGCATAATGATAGTTGTTGAGGAGTCATCATCCAGCTTCTCAAATGATTTGCTCAACATACATATCGAAAGGTGTAAAGAAAGGAGACAACCCTGATATGTGCCTTTCCTGATTTTCAACCATGCAGTGTTCTCTGAAACAAAATGTGTTCCATGAGTATAGTAAACTCTTAAAGAACTGTCTTTGTTACTTGCTATCGAGTTGATTATGACCCATACTGACCCTTGACTCTATAAACAGTGGCTCTGAATCCTTGACCTATCTGAGCCATCCTTACTCTTTCTGACACACCTGACCCCAGTAGATCAAATTGGTAACAATAGCTCACATGATTATATAAGAAGCCTAAGGAGCAGAATGCTTATGTTAATTCAATAAGCAACATTTTTAGAAAGGAGATGTATAACTGCACACTTTGAATACTGTCTATCTATATCATTGAATGGTCCATGCAAAAAAATGTTAAAATTTGCATGCTCTGCTGTATGTCTTTTCAACATCCACAAAACATATGTACAGGAAGTTTTTATGGCCTAATGGTAAAATAACTGTGCTGCTTTCTCAATAGCACATAGTTCAAATTCTCTAGCTGCTCTGTGAGAGAAGGATGGACAGTCATCTCCTCTGCAATTTACTGTTTCTGAAAACCTATTGGGAGAGGGTGGGTTTCAACTCAAAAGTACACAGCAGTGTGTGTGTGTGTGTGTGTGTGTGTGTGTGTAGTAGTAGTAGTAGTAGTAGTAGTAGTAGTAGCAGCAGCAGTAGTAGTAGTAGGTAGTAGTAGTAGTAGTACGTAGGGAGCTCTGGTAGATTAGTGGAAAAGTGAATGAGCATATTAATAAAACAACAACAACAACAACAACAACAATAACTTAGAGTATCTGTGCAAGTTCCATAGCTGTTGTATAGGATTACTCATTCATGGGAAATGTCCATTAGGAGGTCATTGTTGTCATATGCCATCTAATAAATTACTGACCTCCAGAGGATTTTCTAAGGCTATAAATCACATGGGAAGAGATTGCCCATCTTTCTCCCGAGGAGAAGCTGGTGGATTTGAACCCCCTGCCTTTGGATTGGTAGCATAACTCCTAAAGCACTAGAGCACCAGACCTCTCCAAGTTCTCATTCATGAGAAATATCCATTATCAATTAAGTAAAAGTAAATGGTATCTGTTCATAAGTATAATTTTAAGGAAATGACTCAAACTGTTCTTAATTATTTGAACCACACAAGTGTATACATACATATCTGTGTGTGTGTGTGTGTGTGTGTGTGTGTGTGTATTGTGGGTGGGTATAATTGTACATGTTATGAATAAAAGAAATAACTTCATGTAGAGTCTTATTTTCTCATTTAATATTTCAGATGTACATTACCAGCACAATCAAAACCAAAGGAACAAGACTTGCTAAGCCTGTTCTATGTTTGGGCTTAATGTGTTTGGCCTTTCTGACTGGACTCAACAGAGTAGCAGAATATCGAAATCATTGGTCAGATGTGATAGCAGGCTTTCTTGTTGGAATTTCCATAGCAGTATTTCTGGTAAGTGTGTTTATTTAAAAATAATTGAGTTATGAGCTAACATGTAAAAATACAAATATGGATTATTGGATTTGTCTAAATATGGTATATCGAATGATAACATAATTGAAGCCATTTATTGCTTCCTAAATCATGGTTATGAGGATGTGAAAAAAATATATGAATTAAAAGAAAAAAATTCGATACTTTAAGGAGCTATGGTGGTATAATCCATAGGGAGTTTCCCCAGTAACCCAAAGATGGTGTCTTTATGACAGCTAGACTCGTCCCCAGGCTTCTGTGGTAGCAAGCTAAGCTTTCTCCTCTCCTGTGATTTACAGTCTCTAAACTCTTCCAAGGGTCAGCTATGAGTGTGTTCCAACTCAAGGGAAGTTAGTTATTTGTTAATCTTAAAATGCATAAACCATTTTCAGACAAAATTGAATAGGACTGAATACTCATAGTCTTTTCTGTGATTGTGGAATTATTTCAAATTTCCTAATGGCAACTTGTGTCTAGAATTTTTTGCAAGCCCTCTAGTGCCTCCTCACAAATTTTCTTTGCATCACTGCCTCACAGCCTTCTCTAGCAACTTAAAATCAGTGGCAAGAGAACCTTTCCACTTCAGTAACTGAAAATTGAGAGGCAATTTTCAAGACAAAAACATCTCAAATAAAACTCTTCTGTGAATGGAGCAGATGCAACATGGGGGTGGCTGAGTCTGACTTCTACCCACTTCATAAAGGAAAACTGTTCCCATCAATAACATATATAGTACCAAACAAATAGCTACATTGTCACACATGCCGCCTCCATGCTCCTGCAGTGTTCATTGCAAATTGCCTCAGACCTTTACTCACAGTTGTAGATTTTATTAAGGAAATAAGTTAGGGAGTGGGGAGGCAAATGCAATGCAAGTCCAGGTTTAGACCAGGGGTCCCAAGCCAGATTAACAGCAAGACACATTTCCTTAGTTTATTCAGACAGCTTCTCAGTCAACAAGTGAAAGTCTTGTTTCAGTTCAGCAGGGCACGTATAAACCAGTGGTTTCCTCAGTTATTCAGCAAGCTTATCATAGAGCATTTACAAGCCAGCTTTTCCTTCAATGATCCCGCAGACAACACTTTCAACAATAGCTCCATGACCAAGCTTCCTCTGGTTATACCCTGCCACCATCTCTTTTCACCATCTCTCAACCACAGTCTCTTACAGTGTGGAAAGCACTCTCTTTTATTGGTTCCACAGCTGTTGATGATTTGCAAGACCATGTATCTGCAGTTAAGGTAGCTGGAGACCATGCCCCCATCAGGGGCTAACACAATGTATGTTGTTGTTGATATGTGCTGTCAAGTTGCTTGCGACTTATAGCCACCGTATGTACAATAGCCCTAAACTCTGCTCTGTCCTGTGCCAATCACACTGTCTCTGACACACTCATCCCGATTATCTTAGTCACCGAATCAATCCACCTCCTAGAGGGCCTTGCCCTCCTGCGCCTACCCTCCACCCTCCCAAGCATGATGTCCCTTCTCCAAGGACCGGTCTCTCCTTACAACATGACCAAAGTATGTCAGACGAAGCCTCAGAATCCTTGCCTCCAAGGAGCAGCCCGGTTTAACCCTCTCTAGGAAGAATCTGTTTGTTTTCTTAGCAGTCCATGATATCCTCAAAACTCTTATCCAACACCAAAGCTCATAGGCATCAATTCTCCTTCTATCCTCCCTAGTTATTGTCCAACTCTCTGACGCATAGCAAGACCAAAGACCATGGCCTGTATCAGACACACCTTTGTCTCCAGAGAGTCACCATTGCTCTTCAGTACTTCAGAGCGGTCCCTAACAGCAGACTTTCCCATCACAATACATCTTTTAGTTTCCTGGCTGTTGGTGCAAAGAGTGTTGACTGTGGAGCCAAGCAGACTAAAGCTGTGAACAATCTCAGTCTCTTCACCATCCATCCTGATGCTGCCAATTGGTCCAGAGGTGAAGATCTTTGTCTTCTTGACATTGAGCCTCAATCCATATTGAAGGCTGCAGCCAATTTTCAAGGTTTCTGACACCACATCTACTCAGTAATGAAGAACATGTGCAGTGACGTCTTAAGAAGTTAGCGCACCATCTCCACTCCTTTTATGAAATCACTTTGTATTGTGTTTATACATTTTAATTTCTGGAAAATAAGTTTCAGTGTGGCTTTACAATTAATTAGCTTATTTTAAATATGAATATGCCACAATTTACACAGAACAGAAAAATATAAACTATAAGTCAGAACATGTTTTGGAATGGCACATTATTTCTCTAGGAATAGCTTTATTTACATTTTTAATGCATTTAAATTGACAATTGCTTTTTACACTGGCTATTCTTCCCTTGGAATTTTTTTGACTAGCTAATAATGAGTAAGCAAAAAGAAGAAATTCCATGAATCTTTTTTAGTTACTAAATGGTTGAATATAATTTTTGTGCCAAGAATTTTATTAGAAATTTAAAGAAGCTATTTCCTTTAGGATTTTCTGTTGGGAAGTGGTGACCATACTAGCACTTCTGCTTTTCCCTCTAGTTTATTATTTGATTTTTTTTTCTCCTTCTTGTTATACCTCTTAAATTTCTAAGGTTCTATAGAGACAAGGCCACTTCCTTCTCTCCTAGTAATATTCTACAGCATCATAAAACCTGGAATTCAGCCTGGGCCAAAACCTTTCCCTTTATTTCATTTCATACAATTGAGACTCAGTATCATTAAAAACAAAACAACCAAATAAAACCAAGCACTGTCATTCCATAAATTGTAAGAAAATAATCAGAAGCAAATCCAAGAACATAACGGTAGTTCCAAAGCAAAGGTAGATGTATCTGCATGAGTGTAGAACATCTTCATGGACACCTCATAAGACTTACAGCTTATTTTCCTGTGGTTGTTGCCATCATTTGTTTACTGTTATTGAATATCATGATACCTTGTAAAGTTATATTTAGAAGCCTAGAGTCTCTTCTTCCTAGTTAAGAACCATGTAGTATATTATGAGTTGAACTATGCATCCCCCTTGGGCTAAGAACCCTAATAAACATATGCAAGATATTCCATGACGTCCCTTTGAGTGAACATACACTTGAGTCTCTGACCTTATAGTAAATTCATGTGGAAACAATGATTTAACCAGATAATGCTGTTGTTAATGCCACTGATTGGGAACCAATTCAAAGTTGATCCTTTAGTGGGTTTCCAGTAGTTATAAATCACACCAGAGGAGATTGTTCATCTTTCTCCTGTGGAGCAGCTGGTGGATTCAAACTGCCTCTTTGGGTTGGTAGAGTAACACCTTACCCAGCAGGCTACCACAACTCCCTTAACCAGGTGATTGCCAAACATAAATTTTGCATTTATTTACAACCACTCATGAATGCACTGAATGCATCTCCCAGTGCCAGACATTGTGCTGAAACTGGGGAGGCAAGAAGGTTCAGATACATACAACCCTCTTTCCTGTAGACCAGTTTGGGACTCAGCATAGCTAAATTTTTCCACTACTTCTCTTTCTTAAGAAATAGTCTTTTTTGAGAAACTTCTATAATCTGTTGTTGCTGTTTTATGCTATAGAGATGGAAATAGCTGACTTTCCAGTTGGTTTTCAGAGGCAGTAAATTGTACAGAAGATTTTTTTCATCCTTCACCTTCGTTATAATGTAGGTACTGTGGTTAATGGTAGGAGTAAAGACCTGACAGTGATACAAACCGTGTACTTAAAGAGATCACAATCTGTTGGGAGGCCATGTTTCTAGTTAGTTGCCACTGAGTTTATTCTGAAGTTTTCATTGTTGTTATGTGTCATCAAGTTAGCTGGGACTAATAGTTACCCTATGCACAATAGCTCTGAACTCTGCCCTATCCCCAGTCTAGTCACTGTTGCAGACACACCTACCAACATTACTCCAGTTACTGTGTCAATCCATCCCATCCAGGGTCATACTCTCCTGTGCTGTATCTCCACCAAAGTATGTGAGATGGAGCTTCAAAATTCTTGCCTCCAAGGAGAAACTTGGTTTCACCCTCTCCAGGAAAGACCTCTTTGTTCTCTTGGATTTCTCTAGGAGCACAACTCAAAGGCATCAGTTCTTCTGTCATCTTTAGTCATTGTCCGGCTCTCTGACGCCTAGGAAAAAGTTGTGAAGACTATGGCCTGAACAAGGTGTACCTTAGTCTCTAAACTGGCACAATTGCTCTTCAGCACTTTTTCAAGATCCTGACAGCAGATTTTCCTAATTCAGATCATCTTTTGATCTCCTGACCTCTGGTGCCAAGTGTTGATTGTTGAACTAAGAAAGTTGAAAATGTGAACAATCTCAATCTTTCTCCCGTCACGGTGCTGCCAATTGGCCCAGTGGTGAGAATCTTTGTTTTTTCGATACTGAGCTTCCATCCATATTGGAGAAAACACTCCTTGACCTTCAGCAAGTATTTCTGGTAAGCAATGTTGTGTCATCTTCATTCCTCCTCATTAAGTCCAGCCTCCTGAATGATCTGTTCCACATATAGATTGAAAAGGTATTGGAACAGGATGCATCCGTGACACACTCCTTTCCTGATTTTGAACCATGCAGTGTTTCCTTGCTCTGAACTGATGACTGCCTCATGGTCCAAGTATAGGTTTTGCATGAGTACAGTTAAATGTTCTAGAATCCCATTCTACTCAACGTTAGCCACAATTAGTTGTGACCACACAGTTAAATGCCCAAAGCCAAGGCCTCAGGAATTGATAATGTACCACTTGAAATATTTCAGCAAAAAGCTGCAGCATTGGACATGCTCACCAGGTTGTACCAAGAAATCTGGAGGACCTGGCTAGCTGACTGAAAGAGATCCATATTTATTCCCATTCCAAAAATGGTGATCTCAGAGAGAAGCTAGATAGAGTACTCAGAAGATTTTCAGGAGATGGAGGGTATTGAACCTGGTGAAAGGCAACAAGTGGGGGGACAGGACCAGGGGAGGAGGAAGTGATCCATGATGATTCTTCAGTG